ACGTTTCTTGATCAAATGATCGAGACGACCAATTGAAGCAGGACGTTGAATAGCGCCACCCGTTGGTATGTATAATGCTGCGATAAGAACGACGACACAACAAGCCATTTTGTTTATGCTGTCCATTTGTAACTTGTTTTTGCTCGAGGATGAAGGAGAATATTGGATGGATGAATGTGTGTAGATTATAAGGTTTTACTTTGGCTTTATATACTATCGTCGCCAAGCAAAAAGTAATCTACGAAAAAAAGTTATTTTTTCGCGGCAGGAGAGAGATAGAGAGGGATAAAGATTATTTTTTAGCTCGTATACATTGACGGAGGGAGAGTGATATTTTTGTATGTAGAGATGGATAAAGTCATGCGCAATTTATTTTTTAGCTCGTATACATTGACGTAGAGAGAGATATTTTTTATACGTATAGGTGGATAAAGTCATACGCAATTTATTTTTTAGCTCGTATACATTGACGGAGAGAAGCATTTTTTTATACGTATAGGTGAATACAAGCATACGCAATTTATTTTGTATACGTACAGGTGGATAAGTCATACGCGATTTATTTTTTAGCTCGTATACAGTGACGGTGAGTCACTATTTTTTTGCTCACATATACATACGAAGAGTCTTCATTTTTGTCCTCACGGAGAGAGCACGAAGAGTCGCTGTGTTTGTACTCACAGAGCGGGCACGAACGGTCACTGTGTTTGTACTCACAGAGAAGGACGAATAGTGAATATTTTTCTACCGGTATAAGGCAACGCACAGACACATTGTTAGTTTGCTGATAATGAACAACAGCGAGTAACTCTTTTTCTCGCTAGCGAATTGAATATAAATTTACGAATGTTTATTAATGAAAAGAATAAATGATAAAAATATGAAAAAACAAAAAGTAAATAAATAAGAGCATAAATTTTTTAATAATTTCTATATTGATTTATGAAAAACTAACTGAAGAACAAGAAAGGAACAGTAAATAATAAATAATAATTCTTCAAATATTTAGTTGAATATGCGAAGTCTTTCGAATCAACTTTATCTTGTTCAATGAATGGGTGATGGAAACTTTTGTAAACAATTATGTAGAAGATTATAATGGCCAATAATAATAAATGAATAAATTTTACGAAACATTGTTTCGTTAGAAATAATGATATAGTATATGTATTCAATATATTCATGATATATTATTCAGTCGGCATTCAGAATGCAGAATAAAATATTTTCTAATGTATTGTTGTTGATTAAAGACAAGTACATCCAATGGGACCTTGCGATAATTGTTAACCATCCAAATTGAAATATTTCAAACAAAAACAGTGTTATATAAATTGCCAATCTATTTTTTTAGAAGAACGAATTCGAATGATTTAACGATATGCATTTTTATATCAAATTAAAATTGTCTAAGCAAAAATATTTTACATCATATTGGAGCCTATGCCAGGCAGTCAACCGAAACTTCTATACTCAACTCCGACTGTGGATTTAATTTCCACTATCAATCCAAAAATCTATACTCAGTTTTGACTTCCACGTAGACTTCTCGCTCCCATTTTACGCTTCGATATTCATATTTCTTAAAATTTCTTAAAATTCTTATTCTAAACGCTGATGCAAAATAGTCGTTGTTTATCAGTTAATTTTGTACATCAACATATTTCGTATTAATGCAATGTCAGCATATTTCGTATTCATAAAACGTCAACATATTTGATATTAATGCGACGTCAAAATATTTCTTATTCATGAAACGTCAGCATATTTCGTATTCATAAAACGTCAAAATATTTCGTATTTTACCTTGATTTATTATAGCTTCAATGTAATACAAAACAATGACGAAGCATATTTTGTTAAAATACGAAGAAAGAAAATGAGCAATGATGCATGACTGCACATCAAACAGACAAACGCACAAGCTTGCCTATTTTTTTGTTATTGTATATTATGATAAAAAGGTAAAAAAATATTTGTTTAGTCATAATCGAACAAAATAAAAAATTTTGAAACTTTTGAACTTACTAAATACTCTTTACGATCACGGAATCATTTACATACATGTATGTTAGTTCTCTTTCTTCGATTTCTATATGATACTAGTGATGATCAATGATACATTTTCTATACTAAGAAGTATTTCTTCAATCAAATAACAGATAAGAGTAACAATAATAAATATAAGAAAAAAAAATTCGTCAGTATATCCGAACATTTATTATCAATTATATGTACTATTCTTGTGATATGCCAAGATAACGATATATTTGTATCACATCACAACAGATAATACAAGATCATTCGATCAAAATATAGTCGTTGCTTCATCATTCAGATTACATAACATATTAATTATATTATAAAAAAGAATAATTCGTTACAATTCATCAAACAAAAACAAATAACAATAACCAAATCTTTTTTTTTTCTTTTGATATGTACATCGAGATAAGAATAAATAAATAAATATTAGGATATTAAGAGAAAGACACAAGTTAGGAGAGCGGTACCAAGTAGATCTCCAATTGCTGTTAAATATGGAATGCATACATTATCAGGATCTCGTTCATGTCTCCATACAAATATTACCAACCACTGAGCAATATATAGAAGAATAGCAACCTATTAAAAAAAAGAAATAAAGTTGATTTATTTTTGTAAAAATAATTCTACCTGAATAAGTGCTGCTATAAGATAAAGAAAGACAAAAACAAATGAAAGTCGAGTCTGATCTGTTGCTAATCGTGATATGATAAAAACAAATGTTAAATGACCTGGTATAGCCAAAAATAATAAAACACGTGTTGTTGATGAATTACTTTCTGAAAAATAAATATAAAATAATTGACAATTCAATCAATAAGATCGACAATATACTCGTTGAACAAAATATTTTGTATGGATTAGGAAAAAATTTTGAAGCATGATATTGTGTACTATCTTGAAATTCTCCTGGTTTGCCTTGTTGATGAAGTGTAGTAGATAAACGACTTGCTTGAACAGCTACTAAATTACCACCTACACCTAAAAGTTAATAACATTTATTGACAATTCTTATTTCATAACAAACAAATATTTACCATTCATAACAGGTTGAAAAACAGCAACACCTCGGAGTGTTTGAACAGCAAAATCAAGTATAAGACCACCTGCACTATTTAAAAAATAAATACAAAAAAGATTAAATTGAATTCTACGTATGTATTGTTATTATTTACCTTGAAATAAGCATTGCAGCGACAACGGGTGACCTTTAAATATTTTCTATATTAGAATACATTTTTTTTACAAATCGTTTAACATACCATCCATGTATAAGTACATCTTTAACATATTCATTTCGAGAAGAAATAATAATCCAAATCGGTGTTAAAATTAAAAAAATAATTGTAATCATTATAGGTAACCATGCATAATTATCTAAAGTGATGTATGATTTATTATATAAATTTTGAATTTACAAATATTCTTACCAATAATTCTAAATAAAAATCCACCGATACTAGCTAAAATACCAAGTGTTGTTAAATCACCGAGTGACGCAGCTATTGGTGTAGCAATATTATCAGGATTGACTTTGCATTTATGTGAAATGACAATAACAAAAATCATGATTCCACCTTTGATATATATTCTAATTTTTTATGATCTTTTAGAAAAGATTGATTACAAACCTAATGCTAATGAAGTAATTGATGCTGTTGAAACACTACTACTACATAGAACAAGTGCATGTCGTAAATTAAAATGTCCTTCAGGTACCCATCCCATAGCAAGTGATACAAGAGCAGCAAGAAAACCAACAACAATAGCTTGTAGTTGTGTTAAAACTATATTTCCAATAATCATACTTCGAAGTTCTGATTTTTTATCCATATTTCCAATATTAGCCTAAAGTTATAGAAGTTTATATGGAATGTTTTTAAAATAAATTTTAATTACATACTTGTGTAGATAAACGTGATGCTAATGTCATTTCTAAATTTCCTTTTAAACCAAGTAAAGCTGGAACAAGTATATAAATCTCAGTTATTTCTTTAAATACATTTAATTCCTAAATAGAAATGCTATAAAAAAAAGCATAGAGTTATAATTTTAATCAATACCTTAACACGTTCAAGAACTAATCCAGCAGCTACCATACCAAATCCTGCTATCATAAAAGGAATAAAAACTTGACATGCTACAATATACCATTTTTCTTCATTATGATCAAATATAGTCGATAATGTTGTTTTATTATATCGTGAACGATTCTCTATATAATACGAAAAAAAAAGAAATTTTACTTTTATATTAATATTATTTAACTTACGATCAGGAATAAGTATTTCAACTTCACTATCATTTGGACTGATGCCTGAATCGGAATTATTATCATTTTCATTGACTATATTTGATAATTCAATTGATTCCACTAAAATATATGAAATTAAACAAAACGATTAAATTTTATTTTCGTACCATTTTCTTCTAATGAACTGACAATAGTTTGTCCTTTTAATAAAAATAATTGCTGAGTTTGATTGTCAGCTTCTTCCATCATCAGTAGAAAAATAAAACAACTATTGTATTGTATATCTATTGATATTATAAAAAAATGACAACAAGCGCCGGCGCCACATGCAATTCATTTGAATAAAAGAATAATTTTAGAAAAATAAATTCAAAATAAATTTATTATGTTTTCGAAAAAAATTTTATAATAATAAAGATTTTTTTTTAGTTTTTTTTCATTAGTTAAATAACAAAGTCCAATCAAATCTTCGTTTATCATCATATGCTGACGTTTACTTAGGACGTAATCATTGCATCGAAATATGATAACACTCAACGGTAATAAACCTGTTTGGATACGAGATAATGAACATGGTTTTGTTCTTGGAAAAATTCATGATATTGCTACTGATAATGTAACTGTTCAAATAAACGAAAATAAAAAGGTTTGAAAATATATTTATAAAAGAAAAAATATATGACTAGTTGTTTTTTTTTCCTATTAGATCATTGCTGTTCCTTATGATTCAGTATTTCAAGCTGAAGAATATGATAAAGATGTCGATGATAATTGTAATAAATATACTTAATCATGATTAATTATTTTTAATCTTTTTTTTTCAAGGTGCACTCATGTATCTCAATGAAGGAACTTTATTAAATAATGTTCGTCGTCGTTATAAAAAAGATCGAATTTATGTAAGAAAACTAATGTAACATTTTCTTTTTTATTTATTTTAATTTTTTTATTTTAGACTTATGTAGCTAATATATTAATTGCTATTAATCCATATAAAGAATTACATGGTTTTTATAATACTGATACAATGAAAAAATATAATGGAAAATCACTTGGTGTAATGCCACCTCATGTATTTGCTATTGGTACGATGAATTAGAATTATTCGAAGAAATCAGTTTATTCTCCTTAATAAATAAGTGCAATTCTAAGATAGATTGAATATTTATAGTACTATTATAAATCTAGGTATTTCTTTCCAGGGTGTCAAATGATTCTGATTTAGATAGTCAGATAATTACCTATTACAAAAAAAAACAGATAGTATTAAAATTGATTTTCTCTGCACATTAGTATTAACATATTTGGTTTTTTTGGGGAATATAAGTCATATACTAACGCTATGCAGCAACTAACTAATCAGAATGATCTATTACAAATCATATATGACAATTGATTATAATGTCAAATAGATTCAACATTTAATTCAAGCCTTAATATTAATGTGATATAATGTTCATTAGTAGAATTAACTTTTTTTTATTTAGTTTTTAATAAATAAAATATTCGGTTGAATTTTTCAAATATTTTATTTAAGGTGACAAAGCATATCGTGATATGCGTACAACGAAACAAAGCCAATCGGTTATTGTTTCGGGCGAATCAGGCGCTGGTTTGTTGATACTTTAGTAAAAATTTTTTATTTTATATGTTTAATTTAGGCAAAACTGAATCAGCAAAATATGTTTTACAATATTTAACTGAATCCTATGGTACTCATAGTGGTCAAATTGAAGATCGTATTAATAAATGTAAATAGAAGAAAATCTATTATTAAATAGTCTATTTATTTTATTTTAGCTAATCCATTATTAGAAGCATTTGGAAATGGTATACAGAATTCTGTTTTTTTTTCTCTCAATAATTTTTCATTAAAATTTTAGCAAAAACAACTCGTAATAATAATTCAAGTCGTTTTGGTAAATTTATTGAAGTTCATTTTAATGAAAAAGTATTTAACTTCTTCTTTTTTTCTTCAAAACAAAAATATTTTCTATTTCTTCAAGTATCGTGTTGTTGGTGGTTATATATCTCATTATTTACTTGAAAAATCTCGTATATGTGTTCAATCAAAAGATGAACGAAATTATCATATATTCTATCGTTTATGTGCTGGTGCACCAGAAAGTATTCGTAGTGCATTACGACTTTCTTCACCAGATAATTTTCATGTTTGTATTTTAAAAGCGAATAAGTTGATTTTATCGAAAATTTATTTTTCATTTTCAGTATCTCAAACGAGGTTGTACACAATTTTTTTGCAATAATCAAACAGAAAAAAATTTATCAAAAAATCGGCTAAGTCAAGATGTAAGTTATACTTTTTGATGATCAACAAATGATATTCATTATTATTTATTTTTAGTTTGTGTCAAAAGGACCATTACGTGATCCACAATTAGATGATGTGAAAGATTTTCTTGAATGTGATCAATCAATGGATCATATGGGTTTATCAGGTCAAGATAAAATAAATATTTATAGTACAGTTGCATCTGTTCTTCATCTTGGAAATATTAATTTCGAAGATGATCCGGAAAGTACAAAAGGTGGTTGTACAGTAACATCATCTACTCAACAATCATTAACTATAACATCTGAAATGTTGGGTCTTGACATACGTGAACTTCGTAATGCATTAATAACACGAGTCATAATGACTAAAACAACAAGCAATACTAAAGATAATATAATTTCGTAAGTTAAATTTGATAAACAAAAAATTTTACTATTGATTATATTTTTCAAGTGTACCATTGAAAGATTATGAAGCACAAAATGCTCGTGATGCATTAGCTAAAGCAATATATGTTCGATTATTTGATCATATAGTTAGTGTTATTAATAAATCAATACCATTTAGTTCATCAATATCATATATTGGTATACTTGATATTGCTGGTTTTGAATATTTTCCTATTAATTCATTTGAACAATTTTGTATTAAGTATGATTTGAAGATTTAAGATTAATTTAGAAAAAAAATATACCTTTTTCTCTTTAGTTATTGTAATGAAAAATTACAACAATTTTTTAATGAACGAATACTTAAAGAAGAACAAGTTTTATATGAACGAGAAGGTCTTGGTTTGAAAAAGATTCATTATATTGATAATCAAGATTGTATTGGTATGATTGTATTTTGTTCATCATAATTCTATTTTCTTTCTAATTATAAACAGGAGCGTGGTAGGCAAGAATTGAAATTGTATTTGAGTGTGTGTTTCGCATGAATTCAAGAACAGATTTTGACTGTATAATATGTTTATAAGTGACGTTCGTTGTGTAGAGAATTAAAGATAGCATTTGTCTGTTTATTAGCGATGAGTATTTGACAGTTTAGCATGGTGTTATTGATAACTTTATGCATGATCAGTGAAAATATTGAAAAAAATAATTAACACCTATTTTTGATTATTTTAGACTTAATCGAAGCGAAAACAATTGGTTGTTTTGATTTATTAGATGAAGAAAGTAAATTACCAACTCCTCGACCTGAACATTTTACAACTGAAGTTCATATTCGTAATAAAGGTCATCCAAGACTTGATGTAAACTATTCTAAATATATTTATTATATTTAAAAATAATTCATTTTAATTTAGCTTCCACGAAAATCTAAATTACGTACATCACGTGAAATTCGTGATGATGAAGGTTTTCTTATTCAACATTTTGCTGGTGGTGTTGTTTATTCTACAGTAAATTTATCAAGATTATAAATTTCGTCTAATTTCTTTTTCTTAGGCGCAATTTATTGAGAAAAATAATGATGCTTTACATGCATCACTTCTTCTTCTCATACAAGAATGTAAAAATAGTTTTATTAAAAGTTTATTTTTGAAAACATCGGAAAATGAACCATCAACAGGAAAATTAAATTTTATATCTGTCGGATCAAAATTTCGATCTCAATTAACTGATCTGATGAATAAATTACGAAGTACTGTAAGTAAAATGTTAACATATATCAAAGACATTTGTATCTTTAAATATTTAATTCTTAACAGGGTATTAGTTTTATTCGTTGTATCAAACCAAATCTTAAAATGGTACCCAATTTATTTGAAGGTGGTCAAATTTTAAGTCAATTGCAATGCAGCGGTATGGTAGCAGTATTAGATCTAATGCAACAAGGTTTTCCATCACGTACACAATTTGCTGAATTATATTCAATGTATAAATCTTATTTACCTGATGAATTAGCTCGACTTGAGCCACGACTTTTTTGTAAATGTTTATTTAAAGCATTAAATCTTCGTGATGCTGATTTTAAATTTGGTTTAACGAAAGTATTTTTTCGTCCAGGAAAATTTGCTGAATTTGATCAAATTATGAAATCTGATCCACAAAATTTAGCTGCTCTTATATCAAAAGTTAAAAAATGGCTTATATGGACTCGATGGAAAACAGCTCAATGGTGTGCTTTATCAGTTATTAAACGTAAACTTTATAAAAGAAAAAAGAAGTTCGATTATGTTTATTGAATTATTTTTAGTTAAAAATAAAATTCTTTATCGACGTAAATGTTATGTTGATATTCAACGACATGCACGCATGCATCTAGTTTATCGGGAATATGCACCAAGGTAGGAAATATATCAAGAGTATTAAGTATATATTTTTCTTTAATAGAATTCGAGGTTTAGTTAAAGTGAAAGCTTTACATGAACAAGTTGGTTCAATGGAAAATATTGCTGGTCAAATGAAAGTAAATAAAGAAAAAGTACATCAACAAATACAACAAATAAAACAACGTGTTGATCAATTAATTCATTTAATTACAGTAAGTATTTATTAAATAATAATTAACAAAAATGTAATGTTATAAATTGTATTTAGAATACTCGTATAACACCGAGTGAAATTGATGATGCATATAATGAACTTGTTTCTTCTATTGATCGTGAATTTCGTCGATTAAAACAAGTACTTGCTGAACAAGAAATGAAAGAAGAAGCAGAACGTTTAAAAAAGATTCAAGTAAAGATTTATTGTATTGTTCACTGCATATAATCAATATCGGATATTTAGAGTGAACTTGAAAATGAAAAAAATAAAAAAACTAATGAAGATAAACGATCTGCACAAGATAAAGAAGAATTTCAACAGTAAGATATTCATCATTCTTATTTATTTTTCCATTCTTTTTTCTTTTAATTTAGACGTTCGGCTCTTGTTCAACGACAAAGAGAAGAAGAGCAGCTGAAAGGTAAACTAACAGCTGAAGAATCTCGACGTCAAGTATGAATAAAACATTTGAATTAATCAATAAATTTAATCGAATTTCTTCTATAGAAAGAACGGCAAGCACAAGAATTTGCTGAAGATACTCGTTTAGCAGAAGTGAATGAACGTGAACGTCGAGATTATGATTTAGCTCGACGTCTTGCTTTGGAAACAGGTACTGAAGCTGATTTACCACATCTACATCGATCACGTCGTCCAGCTGTTAATTCAAAATATGATTTAAGTAAACATTCCTATGCAGAATTACGAGATATTATTAATACATCTTGCGGTAAAATTAAAACAAGAAAAAATACAACTAAGATTTATTAATATGTATGTTTTAGATATTGAATTACTTGATGCATGTCGTGAAGAATTTCATCGACGTTTAAAAGTTTATCATGCATGGAAAGTAAAAAATCGTAAAACAAAAAATCCGTCCGCTGTAGCTGATAATGGTGAACATATCGATGAAGAACGAGCACCAAGAGATATTATGACTAATGGTAAATTTTTCAATATTCTTATCTATTCAATAGAATAAAGTATATACGAGTTTATAAGTTAGATACCTCTAAGCAAATTTCTTCGAGGAAACAGTTGATAGCACTCTTACTTTTCATTAATAATCACGTGTAAAGTAGAGCATGACACAGGTTTGCTTTACAGTAAAAAACGTTTTCTATCCAATCTGACTATGTCTATATGTTGACTCATCAATAACAATAAAAACGTTATTTATTTCGAATTAAAAAATATAAATCTTTATTATTTTTAGTTGTAAAACCTGCTATAACAGATAGTACGAATAAAAAAGATGGACAAACTATGGCAAACGGATCTAACGCTAAAAAAGGCGATAGTGATAAAAATGCTGAACAACGTTATTTTCGTATTCCATTTGTTCGTCCTAATGAACAAAATCGTGATACAAATAGTGAACAAAAAAAGAAAGGCTGGTGGTATGCTCATTTTGATGGTAAGTTTCAATAGAATTTCTCTTTCTGTTTTGTATCAATAACGATCATCTTATTTTAGATAAATGGATTGTTCGTCAAATGGAAATTCATGCAGATAGAAAACCAGTTCTTCTTGTTGCAGGTGTTGATGATACGAATATGTGTGAATTAAGTTTAAATGAAACAGGTTTAACTTCAAAAAAAGGTGCTGAAATTCTTGAAAATGATTTTGAACAAGAATGGGCTAAATATGGAGGCAGAGAATATTTAAAATCTCATAAAGGACGCATTAGTTCAAAATATGTTAATCAAATACTTCAAAATTATCATTAAACAAAACAAAACAAAATCTCCAACGAAATCTATTCCGTGGACAAATCATTTTATTTCTTCTTTTAATGTCCAATTCTCATTGTGATGATCTTTCTTATTTTTAATTATTCGTTTGTTTTTAAAATCTTCTTTTACGGAATGGAAAGATAACAAATTTCTATTCTTCTTTTAATTTAATCGTTTTACTTCTATTTAACAAAAATAATTTTATTATTTATTTTATTTCAGATGCAAACATAGATAAACAATAGCTATGGCTGGAATGAAATTCGAAGTGAGTTAAATTTCGTTTAGTTTTCGTTTTATATAAAATTTTTCATTTAGTACGATGAAAATGGCGGAAAGTTTTATTATTTTATTCTTTCCGTCTATGCATTAATTCTTGTACCCGCTACATACTGGCTATGGCCTAAAATAGAAAAAAGAAGTAAGAATAAAAGTTAATAAAAAACGATATTGATCATAATTAATATTTTCTATAATGTATAGAAAGTGTCCCACATCCTGAAGATACATCTAATTTTGCTCCATGCCGAAATAAACATCAATCATTACATGCAAATGAACCGAATCAAAGACGACGAGCAATAATAACGTAAGAATGAATTATATGTTATAGTTATATTTATTTTTCTTTTATAGAAAAATTGGTCTAGCGTTAGCATGGATTATATTAATAATTCTAGCTTATCGCGTATCCTTAATTGAAATCGAACATAAAGAATATGATCCATTTGCAGTGCTAGATGTTGATCGAGTATGTATTTGTATATAGTATTAAAATTATTTTAAAAAACATAATCATATTTAGGAAGCAACAATAGCTGAAATAAAACGAGCCTATCGCGATTTGAGTAAGAAACATCATCCAGATCGTGGTGGTGATGCCGAAATGTTTGTAAGTAAAAATATTAATAATGAGAAAACGAAAGTTATATTTTCTTTTGTGTTCTTCTAGAAAGAAATAGCTAAAGCATATAAAACATTAACGGATGAAGAAGCAAAAGAGAATTGGAAAAAATATGGCAATCCTGATGGACCAGGAGGTTGTTATTATTTGTTTTTAAAAGAAGTTTTTCATTTTATTGAAATTTATTTATTTTTTTAGTTGCACATTTTGGTATTGCTTTACCAAAATGGTTAGTTGATCATAAAAATTCTGTATTTGTTCTTTTGGTTTATGCTGGTATCTTTATGATTGTTCTACCAGTTATTGTCGTATGTTTATCATAATAATAAATTTTTAATCTACTTTCTTTTGAATTTCAAGTGTCTCTGGTGGCAAAAATCTGCTCGTTATTCAGGTGATCAAATTTTAATTGATACAATTCAACTTTATTGGATATTTTTAAGTAAAACAGCATCAATTATTACTAAACGTAAGTTAATCGAATGGGACTAGTTGAATAGGATTCAGATGTACCCATGTTCAAATCTATCTAACGGTATACAATGATGATTTTGTTTTCAATATCTGTCAATCCTCTGAGATTAATTTCTTTTGATGTACATGAAACTCTGAGTATACCGAAAAACAACAAAGTCATTTTGAACATTTACGATGAATTTTATATGGAATTTTTTTCGTATGATAAAATTATATATGATAAGTACAACTATTGAGCGGTTGATTATTAAAGAAAGAAAATTTAGTTTTCAAAATTCAGTATTGAATATTTAATATATTTAGGTGCAATTATGATTCTTAGTGCATCAAGAGAATTTGATCGTACTCGAAATCCACTTATTATTGATCGATTAAGTGATAATGTTGAATTACCAAAAGTTTGTTCACAAGACATTTTAATAATTTTATTTAAAAACATGGAACTTTTTATTTAGTTATTTCGAGAATTACCTGATATACAAGAAAAAACAAAAGAACGACCATTTCAATTACCATATTGTTTAAAAGCACGTACATTACTTCATGCACATCTTCAACGATTAACTACATTAAGTAGTGATCTTGAAAAAGATAAAGCATATATTGTAAAGAAAGCTCCATATTTAATTAATGAAATGATTAATATTGAAGCTCAACTTGTTGCGATGGGACATGCTGGAAGATGTAAAATAAAAAACATTTATCATTATTTTTCTCTAAAAAAAGATTTTTTTCGCTTATTTTTTAGTGAGAAATGCTCCACGTTTGGATACAATTGAAAATACAATGAAATTGTCACCAATGATTGTACAAGCATTATGGAGTGGAAAAAGTCCTTTACTTCAATTACCACATATAACTGAAGGTCATTTAAGATTTTTCGAAACAAAAAAGGTATGAACATATAAAATTCTATAGACATTTACAGAAAGGATCAGAATGCAGTTCTCTTAGTCTCACTTAATTCCACTTATGGACAAAATCTAAGTAAAATTGATATGTTTATTTTAGCGTACAATCAAATCAATACGACAATTCGCAGGAATGGACGATGAAGAACGTCGTTCTATGCTTCGTAGTATTACAGATGAACAATATGATGATATCATGAGTGTTCTATCTATTTATCCACATCTAACAATGAATGTATCCTGCGGAGGTATTATTATTGCTTAAAGATAAATTATGATACTATTTTTTTGCATATATTTTATCTAGTTTTTGATGATGAAGATGAACATATCATAACAACAGGAGCCGTAGTAACATTAACAATACATTTAGAACGTGAAAATATGTCAAGTGTATTTAATAAAGAACTTGGATCGAATACATCGACTACTATGAATACACTTGATGATGAAGCAAATGAAGAACAAGTTGAGGATAAAGAAAATCGAGAAAAGGTTTAAATTAATTTTTGAATTTTTTTTTTATATTTTTAATACTTTTTATTAGACGAATGATACATCAAAAGGAGCAACAGCTGCAGCATCGAATACATCAAAAGGTTGGAATAATAAATCCGATAAGAAGAAAAAGCCAAAAAAGAAAGGTCAAGCTACAGCATCAAAACCAAATACTTCTACCGCAAATAAACAATCAACACCGACTAACACGAATAAAAAACAAGGAAAAACAGAAGATAAAGAGTCAAGTGGTACGTATTTTTTATATTCTATTTAATAATTTGTGAGTAAAGTTAGTGGTAAAAAATTTAATCGTATTTACAGTGTCTTTTGAAGAGTATCCAGAAGTTCATTAGATCCCCAATTAACTTATTATTCTTTTTTTTTATTTAGATGATGATTCATCAAAACATTCTGATGGTAAATTAAATCAATTGAAAATTTGATTTTAATAAATAGAGTCTTACTTTTTCGTCTAGATTCTCCATCTACTACATTACGCCACCGTCACGAACAATCAAAAGATGAAACAAATAATAGTGATAATGAGAATAATGATGAAGAAAATGTCCCAGAAACAACACCAAAGAAATCACGAAAAACGACTGATAATGATGAAGATACATTTCTTGAACGATTTCAACAACAACAACGTAAACGTGAAAAATTAGAAACAAAAGCTAAAATTAGTCATCGAGTTTTCTGTCCATTCTATCCTGAAGTATATTATCTCTAGATAATGTATTTTCTTTATTTTTCATTTGTCTTCGTTTTAGATAAAACAAGAATGTTGGTGGTTATATGTTGCCGATAGAAAACAACATTCATTAATTAGTGCTCCAGTTTATCTTTGTACATTAAAAGATAAAGAAGAAGTTGAGGTGAAATTTTCTGCACCAAAAATACCTGGTCATTATGTTTACTCAGTTATTTTAAGATCTGACTCATATTTTGACGTTGATGTCATGGAAAATCTTGCTGTAAATTAAAATATAAAACTTTTTTTTTCTAAATATTTTTTTTTTCGTATTCTGTTTTAGTTTGATGTACAAGCAGCTAAAGAAATGGATGATAATCATCCACAATGGGACTTTAGTGAAGAAGAAGGCGCAACAAATAACAAAGCTGAAGATGAAGAATTTGCTACCGAAAGTGAAAGCGATGAAGAATAGATACTTACTGTTGTTTATGTTGTTGTTGTTGTTATTCATACTCTCATTTATTATTTATATTATCTATTTTATTCCACTTTCAATTTCCTTTTTTTTCTAACTTCAAAAAAACAAAATATCTAACATTGTCGTGTAATCTTTGTTGTTTACAATAAAGGAACATAACTATCGTTTCAATATTTCCTAGAAGGAATATGAAAAAAATAACATATCGAAAGTTGGGTTGAATAAAAAAAATAATAAAGACAAAGAACAACAAGATTCTTTTTATTTTCTTGCACTCGTGCGTGCATAGATTACATATGAAATTTGTGTTATATGATTCCTAACATATAAAACTAAACGTTTTAATTTATAAGAGTATTTATCAGAAAATGAAACTTATTTTGTTAATCGTTATTGGCCATATTCATCTATTTTCTCTTTTTGTAATTGCCTAAAACATACACAAATCTATTCCATTGATTCAATATATATCATCACTACTTATATATATATAAATTCACACGTGCTATGATTATCATCATTCGAAAAAATATCATATACAGACAAAAGTAATGCTTTTTTTTTTCTTTTTTCTTCTACTTGCTAGTCACTGATATACATAACATGGTTGGAATAACAAATTTATGCACTCGAATAGCATTATTTCATTTAACAAAAATATATATGTTATTATGTGTTTTTTAACAAAAAGAAAGAAAAAAAACTCGAGTGATTTTTATACATACCTCTATTTCATTTTATGATCGTTTTTGATGAAGAAAAGAGAAAAGGGCAATATATAAAAATCTATTATTATCATTATCATTATAAATTGTCTTGCTCGAAAAGGCTATCATTCGTGTGTATATACCTGTATAGAAGAAACAATCATTTATGATCTTTATCACCAACATTTCTTCTTTTTTTCTTTATATTTCGTTTTTTTTATATCGAAATAACCTATAAAGTTCTTCTTGAGAGACGTAACTGAATAATTCAAATTTTCTTTTATTTTTCTTATAGGTTTTAATTTCTATTCAATAAAAAAATATCAGCAATTTTCTTTATGTTTCATCTTATGTAATTTCCAAGCATGTATCAAAATAAACATAGTATTTTTCTTATTATACTTTTGGGTTTCATTATCCATAAATATTATTGTAAAGAACAAACATATGAACATAAACCAAATAAACCATTACGTTTTCATGTTGCTGAATTTAATTTTGATCATGTATCAGATGTTTATGCTATAACATTATGGATTTTACTTGGTTCATTAGCTAAAATTGGTAAGTATTCATAACTTCTATTAAATTTTCAAAACAATTTAATTTCTTTTCTAGGTTTTCATTTATCACATCGTTTAACAGAAAAATTTCCTGAAAGTTGTCTTTTAATTATTCTTGGTCTTATTGTTGGCGGACTTTTGTATGTTACTCATTTAACGGAACAAAAAGCTTATGTACTTAATAGTGATACATTCTTTTTGTTTCTATTACCAGTAAGTATCAATGTTTCATCATTTTCTTTTTTTTTTTGATTAGCACATTTTATTAGTAAAGAAAAATATAATCACGTTTTTAGATATTATTATATAACTCAAGAATAAAACGTTCGAAGTAGAATCATAAATAGATTTAGATAAGAAATGATGTAATTTATATTTTTATTTATTGATATAAAATCGAAAAAGAACTAAACATGAACATAATTTTTTTCGAAAAGAAAATAGTACTGTTTAGATAAATTCGAAATACTCTAAGTAATTTAAATTCTCCGCATGATAATGCAGTGATTAGATATAGTAATCGAATTTTTGAAAACATGATTAATCTCGTTTTTTTCAATAGTTCTAAAAAAAGGACTATTATATAAAATTTGTTATGATAATATATAAAACAATAAAAAAAGGAAAGACAATCATAAAAGAGCTAAACGGAAATAGAGTAAAAAGTACAAGATGACCTAATATAATAGCACATGGATTCAAGACATTAGGTTAACGTGTAGTGCCTGGTTTATTAGTAGTAACTATTGATTATGATTCAAAGTCATCTGAATACATCTACATGTGCGATGAATATCATAATACTTACGAGCAGACATGACCCAAACTCAAACAGTTTGGGCTTCGGTCATCTCATAAGTTATGAGATGAGCTACCTATATTCTCCGAAATAAAATACCAGAATTTCTCTAACTAATTGATCTAATTTCTTATGATATTTTATAGCCAATTATTCTTGAAGCTGGTTATTTTATGCCAAATCGTCCTTTTTTCGATAATCTTGGTACAATTTTATTACTTGCTATAGTTAATACATTATTTAATACAATATGTATTGGTCTTACATTATGGGGTTTTCAATTTACACCACTTTATGGTGGTACTGAATTTGAAATGTTACCCTGTCTTGTATTTGCTGCACTTATATCAGCTGTTGATCCTGTTGCTGTATTAGCAACATTTAGTGAAATACACGTTAATGATATGCTTTATATTGTCGTATTTGGGGAATCTTTACTTAATGATGCTGTATCAGTTGTTTTATATCGTATGTTTGCTTCATTTGCTAATATTGGCCAACCTAATATTATTGTAATGGATATCGTATTGGGTTGTTTATCATTTTTTGTTGTTGCACTTGGTGGTGTTTTAATTGGAATTATATTTGGTGTTATTGGATGTTTTACAACAAAATTTACTGAACATACACCTGTACTTGAACCACTTATTGTTCTTGTTTATGCTTATTTAGCTTATCTTACATCAGAAATGGTTTCCGTATCAGGTATTTTAGCGTAAGTATTTTTTTCTTTCATAAAAATCTTTTAAAATTTAATCAAATTTATTTTTGTCTTCAGTATAACATTTTGTGGTATGGTTATGAAACAATATGTTTCATTTAATATTTCGAAAAAATCTGATGCAACAACTGAATATGTTCTTAAAATGTTATCAAGTATTATGGAAACAATTATATTTATGTTTATGGGTTTATCAACAGTTAGTGATAGTCATTCATGGAATACAGGTTTTGTTTTTATGACAGTTCTTCTTTGTCTTGTTTTCCGAGTTATCGGTATGAAAAATTTCAAGAACAAAAATATGATAAAATATGAAATGTATTTTGTTTTTTCGTTCTAGGTATTGCAATCTTTGCTAATATAGCTAATTGTTGGCGTTTACTTGAATTAACACGTATTGATATGTTAATTATGTCATATGGTGGTTTACGTGGTGCAATTGCATTTGCTCTTGCACTTGTTCTTGATGAAGCAAAAATTGCACGAAAAAAAGAATTTGTTACAGCAACAATTGCTGTTGTCTTTTTTACTGTTTTTATACAAGTAAAATAGAGAGACTGAGTTATCATTACATATATATATTCTGTAATAGGGTATTACAATTGGTCCACTAGTTAAATTATTAAATGTAAGACGAAAACAAATTGAAGAACCAACAATGTCAGCTAAATTAACAAATCGAGTAACGAAAACCATTGAAATTTATTTATTTTCTTTTTTTTATGAAAATATTTTTTCTTATTTAAAGATGATGGATCATGTAATGACTTGTTTAGAAGAAATATCTGGTAGTGGTGGAAGTAATTCATTACGTGATCGGTAAAAATAGAATTTTGACTTTGGTATTTTTGTTCAATTAAATACATTTAGAGTACGAAATCTTGATCGAAATTACTTCAAACGTTGGTTATTACGTGAACCACCAGATAGAAAAGATATTAAATTATTACAAACATTTAAAAAGATTAATACGTTAACAGCTATGAGAGTTCATGATACAGCTCGAGGACTTGTACCATCAGCATCAACTGCAACTGTACAACAAGGAATGCCAGAACATCATCATTTAAGATCACATTCAGCCTATGGAAATGTTTCAGAACTTATTGCTGCAAAGTTAGTTTCATTATTTCGACTAAAAAAGAAAATTTCAATAATGTTTTATTTTATATAGTCTACCAGAAAATACTGTACCAGATTTAATGTCTTATGAAAATCATGAAGGTGAACATCATCATAATGATGCAGAAATGCATCATTTTCTCGATACAAATCTTTATTCTGCAAGACCAAGAGTAAGAAAATTAAAAATTAAAAATACATTACAACCTCAATAGTACTACTTGAGAATACTCTAAATATGATACTTATTGGTTACACTAAACTAAAAAGAAAGAAATCGCTTTTCCCCCTCTCGATCGATTTAGAGAAATAACGATAGATATTGGAATATTGGAATATTGATTTTTAATTGACTTATATACATAAAAGTGTAAAATAAAACTTGAGTTTAGAGCCGATTGAATCTTGAAATAAGTAGATCGACAATCTTCTATTCTATTCATTATATTCACAATTCTATATCAAAATAAATCTAATGAATATTTTTAGGCAGCTATACATCTTCGAAATCAAGATGAAACTGGAAGTTCAGATGATGGAACACATGCTCGTTTTGAAAAATCATATCATCATCGTGATCAGAGATATTTACCAACTAGACTTGAGAGGGAACTACCACATGGACCTAAAACAATTAGTAAAACTGTTCATAATGCTAATCGACCAATAGGATTAAAAAATTCGTCACCTAAACATACGCGTTCACCACCTACAACACATCAGCAACTAAATCCTCGATCACGATCAAGATCAATAGCAGCACATCAAAATTCGCCTATACCATCTGGGCAACGAACTAAATCTATTTCAAAAGATAGTCGTATTTCGCCGTTAGCTTCTACGCATATTGAAAATGAAGGTATTAATATAATTCGTAAAATCAATCTTTAATAATACGCATTTTCTTCATTAGGTACTGGAAGAACAGCTGTTGAACGTAGTCGTCCATGGCGTCATTTATCAGTTACTGAGGAAACAGGAGCATCATCTTCGAAAACTGCAAACATACCATTAGCCAATGGAAATGATCCTAATCTTCATCATATACCATTAACAGTTGCAGATTTTGGTGGTACATATACAAAATCACCTGAATATATGGGTGAATATGCAACAACAACAAAACCAGAAGAACCATCTTCACGACCAGATGTTCGTGATATATTTAATAAACAATCAGATGATGTATCTGAACAACAAGATGATGGTTCTACTGAAAGCATTACTCGCTTGTGAACTTCATAGAATTTCTTTCTTTTTTGTTTTTTATTCAGTTCGTTTTTTTTTCTTTATCAGTAGACTGAAGGTAAATATAATAATAAAACCAATTGAAACCCATATTTATAAATAATTATATATCTTCTCATTAGAATTTTAATATATAATCATATATAAATATTGTAACTAACTAGTACTTACATATAAATTTGATAAATTATTCGTTTGAATTTTAATGTATAATCAATATTCTACTATTTTCTTCTATGTAATCTATGTAAATAATATTCGAAATTCATTATTTTCTTTAGATTTATTTTAACCATTCAAAATTTAAATGATAGAAATTGATCAATCGATTGACATGAAAATAGTCGAACTGACAATAATACTATGAAGAAAAGAAATCGGTCAGATTTCTTCTCAATCAAAAATATTATAACAAATCATTTTATTTACGATCGATTAGAACGTTCTATGTGAAAAGATTTTGTTTTATTTATTTTAAGTACAATGTCACGCTTTCTATTTATTTAATTTAAATTTTGTATAATTTTAAAAAGAAAAAAGAAAAATAGATTAAGATATTAATAATCATTCGAAGTTCTTTTTGTTTGTTGGCGATGAGAATTATTTTTTGGCTGGTTGAGATACTACTGGTGCTCGAGCTCCGCCACTTGGTGCTCCTAATATTAATTAAAAGGAAAAATGTTAATAAAAAAAAATAATTTTCATATGTAATTCATAACAAACCTCGTGCAGTTATTTCTCTTGCTTCTTGACAATTGGCACAGCCGCTGCAACAACATGTAGCAAGAAAATCACTTGGTTTTTCTTCAAGACCATAAGTAGTACGCATTCTTTGTCGGCGAGGCTTATGAATAAGACAGCAGAGACCGCACATTTGTAAACCTCCATATTTAAGACAAGCTTTTATCTTTGTATCTTCACCGAGTTTTTCAGCATTCTGTCCATGTAAGTAACAACCACAACACCAACCAAGTAAACATATATTAATATCTTGGAAACACTCGAAGAGTCCGCCTAGAAATAAATTATTAGAATATTAGTAGTTTATCTCAATAAAGATATATTACTTTTCCATGCTTGTGCCATTGTATGTTTTCAATTGGTTGTTTATATGAGACTGAAACTGTTGAGATTGTTAACTTCTTACAACACCAAAAAACTCGAATGTATTTTTTCTTCTTGCTCTACTTTATTTATAAGAGCGAGAGTTTTTTTTCGTTCTTTTTCTACTTTTTTTTTCGTTGATACATGAACAAATGTAAAAATTTGATTGGAGAAAACTACTGAAAAAAAAATTGACAACATAGAGAATCGTTCGATTGTTGTATAGATTCTATATACAATACGCAAGTTATTGACGTAGAGACTTGTTTAAATAAACAAAAACAAAGCGCAAGAGTTGTGATTGTCAAGACGATAAATACTTTGTAACGATAGTCACTCAAATAGCAGAAACGAAAAAAAAAAAAAGAAGGAGTGTCGTTTACTTTACTTATAATGGTTTTCATAGTTGAAATAGAAAAAAAACAGTTTAAATACTTTTCATGTTATTTCTTGAAGCATGATTTCTGTTTTTGTTTATTTTACGACTGTTGATAATAAACAAAGAATTTTTACCACAAAAAGAAAATCAGTAGATTATATGAGATATTCTCTAGCGAATGTACTATTTACTCGTAACCAATTTAAAAGAAAAAGAGTGGACGAAGCCATTGATCGAAATATGTTTTGATTACCTTCAAGAATGACATATACAAAACAAAGTTATTCTTGTATCGATTTCTTATCGAAATTTAATCTGAACATAACGATAGATGTGTTTCAAACTAATTATTATAAAGATCGAATATATATTTTTATAATATTATTTTCATATTAAAAAAATTATTCTTTATTTTTTCTATAGAAAATATATATTCAAAGAATAATGCCATTTTACATCTTTTGTAAATATTCAAATGAAAATTATTCTGTTGAACAAATCATATTTTCAAGAAAATTTTGTTATAAATATATGAATTGTTGATACAACATCTAAGATTTTTCAGTGCATTATTCAACCAACAACAAAATGTATACATTATCGAGTGTTGTTGATGGATATTTGTATGAGTAGTCAACTAAAACGAATATGAACTTTTCGAAACTTTGTATAACTAGTCGCACTGCTTATTTTGAGAAAAATAATTTCAAACTCATGAAATAAATGATAGTATTCGTTTCAAAATATTCTATAACTTCGGTTATTTTTAGCTACTGCTGTAAGGCGATTAATGTTTTTGAATATTTTGACGTAAACACTATAATTTATTCAGTATGTCTAAAGTTATTTTTCTCAAAATAAGCAGCACAACTAGTTTCACAGATTAATAAATAATATTATCTAGCTTCTATTCAAAGAAAGCTCACGATAAGGTTTTTTGCAATAGAAGTAAACAAGATCATTCATTAATATTGATCTTTTTCATTACATAAATTCAATATAAAATATTATTTCGATCATAGGATCATACAAAATCTATGATTTATATAATGATAAACTATCGATTAAATTATTCTGATAGACTGTTTTCATCAGTTGTATCTACAACAGATGATTACTTATTTTTTATTCTCGATTAAGTCATATAATAAAAAATACTCTAACTGCTCAAACAGGACTGATAATTATTTCATTGTATTATGTTCGAATCGTATCATAAGGATTACTTCGATATGATTATTCATCAATCTATTATAAATTCAATAAATGAAAATTATTTACAAAAATAAAAAGAAGACTGCAATGCTGAAATATAACATTCGATTTATTTTAAATCATTGATGACTAATAAACATAAAATTCAAAGAATAGTGTGAAGTTTTATGTTATCATATAGGGAAACAGTGATCTATAATTTTATCATACAAATAAGTAGAATAACAAATTTGACTATTTTTCTTTATCAATATTTATCTACTACTTAATAAAGTAGTTCCTTTTTCGTTCTATTGATAATATATGAAAAAAATTTGTCACGTATTTAAAAGATGACAATGTTTGTCATTTATATAAAGATTAAAAACAAATGATATTTACTTGATATTCTACAGTATTATTTAGTTCGTATTCACTCATTTTTTAAAATAATCATTAAACATGGCGCACGGACTTTTTAGTAGTTCATTACCTGTAGATGATAATCCAATTATTCAAACACGTCGAAATTCACATACTGGTCCAATTGCAATGATGCGTCGTGCATCACGACAAGGAAGCATCGGTCAAGCACATATTCATACAATATTTATGAATGAAGCTTTAGCTGAAGCACGTGCTAGTCTTGCTGAAGGTGGTATACCAGTAGGATGTGTTCTTGTTCGAAATGGTCATGTTATTGCACGTGGACGTAATCGTCGTATTCAACTTAGTTCACCTATTTTACATGCTGAAATGACTTGTCTCGAAGCTGCTGGTCGACAACCTGCATCATTTTATCATGACTGTACACTCTATACAACTTTTTCACCATGTTCAATGTGTGCAGGTGCGATTCGTTTTTATGGTATTCCTCGAGTCGTTATTGGTGATAACAAAATATATCATGGAGATGAAGCCTTACTTCGAGCAAGTAATATACATGTTGATGTACTTGATTGTACTGAATGTCATGAAATATTGGAAAATTTTATTAAAGAACGTCCATCAGTTTGGCAAGAAAACATTGCTCATACCGCACATTAAATGATTTGTATGTATTTAAGCAAGAATTTTTTATATTGGATCATCTTTTTTTTTTCGTTTTTGTTTGAAAGGGTAACGCTTATAATGGAAATAGAATGATATAAACTTGATCTTTTTTTTCAAAACGGAAGAGTATTTAAAAATAATTGTATAACCTAAATATCAATGAGTGATTACATTAAGATTAGTTACATTTGTAAATACTAAAAATTCATATTTAAGTAAGAATTTTGATATCTATATGACTCTAATATTGAATTGATTAATTAAGATAAAATCTATAAACAGTTTTTATTAAACAAATGTCTTTAAAAAATAAAAAAATAAAAAAATAATAATCCTATTCTTATTGTTCAAAAACATGTATCTGTCGTTGGCCAGTTTCATTATTCATAACAATCATAGTTATAATTTGTTGATTATTATTATTACTTGTACAAATATTTGATATAAATTCATTTTGTTTATCAGATTGCCTTTCAATTTGTTTGATTTCACCAGTTCGTTCATCCATTAAAGTTAATGCATTAGGTTGAACTTTATATCCACCTATAATAAGCCATTGATCATCATTTATAGGTGTTAACATACAACGTTCGAGAAAATTAAATGCACCAGTACCATAACCTATTGTTAAACCACGATGTGTACGTGTCATTGTATTATAATCAAATAAATCAACACGCCATTGATTTGTAGTACGTTGTCTTATTGTCATACCAATTGAATGACCATTAGTACGTATACATGATATTCGATCATCGGAATTACTTTCACGAATTTCACTACCAGATAATGTTTGAATACGTTGAAATTTTGGTAATGATAAACGCCAAACAGATTCAAGACCATCGGATAAAACAATAAAAAGATCAGTACTAAAAAAAGAGAAGAGAATTTATAGAATTGTTATCCTTAGTTAAATTTAAGATTTCATTAAATGACTGTATACTAACCCATGGCAAGCAATAGACCATAGATAATTATCTTTTTTATTTATTAAATCTATATTATTCACTAATGTTAATTGATTTTTTTCAACATTATACATTTGTAAACGATCATAACCAGCAATTAGAAAAGCATTTAATACATTTGACCATGCTAAATCAAACGCTGCAAATGTTTTTATATCAATAATATATTTTTCATTTCCTTGTAAATCAAAAAGACGTAATGAACTTGAACTTCCACCACCAATTAAAATATATTTATCAGACGAAGCCATTGCTAACCATTTTTCATTGCTAAGATTTAAAAGATTAAATTTATGTGAATAACGATCGATTTGTTCAAAATTAATTTGATGTTTTTTATGATTTAGTATTGTATGTACACGTGGTTTTATTAGTAATGTTGATGACAATTGATTTGTACGATTAGTTAACGGAGGCTTTGTTAACATTATTTCAAGAGTTGTCCTATATTCATATATATGTTCGTATCTTTCGTATTGCGTATTGTTATTTGACAAATTAATATTCATAGGTATAGGCATCTGAAACTAGAGAATATACATATTTATTTTTCAATACAATTAAGGTTAGATTTGTTTAAGAATTAAAAAAAACGACTATGTTATTATTGATTAAATCAATTATTGTTTAGTGATGTAGTTTGTCTTTTTAATAGAGGAATGTTTGCTATATCATCTTCGTCGTCATCATCATCATCATCATCATATTCTAAAGTTCGCTTCTTTGATTGATTAGTTTTTGTAGATGATTGTGATTCTAAAAATATACCATAGTTAAAGTAAAACGAATCATTATTTAAATTAGTAAAGACATCTGATATAAATAATAATGCATTAAAATAAGACACATTAACTATTTTTCGATAAATCTTATTACTTATATGATATCGATTGATAGAATTATACCTTTTTTTGATGGTTTTCTTCAGAACTTCTTTAAACTCAGGCATAAAAAATCTGGAAAATACTAGATGTATCAAGATGTTGTAGAACAAATGGTCGCGGACAAAATATTGCATGGACAAAATGTTACAACGATAGGCTTTCGTACCACAGGGTGTAGGCTTCGGTGATAATAAGTGTAAGACCTTGGGTGATAGTGAGGATAAGGATGTCACTAAAGATCATATAGAATTATGATGGCACTCGCATGTAAATCTATGTGACATTCATGTTCGTCCTCGCATATCGCCCTCCCCCTCACCTATGTCCACGCTTGCCGCCAGGTTAAATGCTTCCATGTAGGATTTGATAGTCGGATCGCTTGCTGTAAGCATCTACAACTTACATACCTACGGGTTAGTAATGTACCTATGATATCATCTACTGATCAGAAGTCCTTTTTTATCAGAATATACGTTTTATCGTTATTCTGCTGAGAAAGCCTCTCGTTGCAACATTTTGTCCTGGCGCCGTAGAAAATAGTATATAGTTGACGGACCCATTTGAATATCAACAAAATGAATAATTTGAGACTTATCAATTTGTAGTCAAGCTTTCAGTTTAGAAGAAATGTGATTAATTTACAATATAATGGCACTTGAAAGCGCTGACTAATCGGAACGATACTCCTAATCTACATCTACACCCGGAAAATAACCAAAAAATATTTCAATCATACTTGAAATTGTCGATGTTGTTGATTTCTTCTTAACAACTTCTTTCTTTTCAGGTTTATTATTTGTAGTTGATGTTCGTTTTTGTGTATTTTCAACAATATCAAGTAATATTTGACAATTTGTATTATTTTTAACGTATTCAGCACGTCTTCCTAATTTAATATAACAAATAGTTGTATAAGGCGTAAAATGAAAATCTTCTTTTAAATATTGATCAATAATTAATTGTAAGATAAGTTTTTGTAAATCAAGTTTCGTCATTGTTTTTATTGTTATTTGTTCAATTAATTTTAATGCTGTTAAACGTTGTTTAGAATTAATTTGTAAATAATCAATTATAATTAAAGCTTCATCACGACAATTTCGTTTTATTACATTTCTTGTTGTTGATTGAACACATATATCACACATTTGATTACAATCATTTGTTTGCCAAACTTCATCAAAATGTTTTGCAATTAATTTTCGACGACATTGAGATTCATTTAAACAATAAGATATCATAGAATAAAGATTTGTAAGACCATTGCCAGATTTATCAGAAAATGCCATTGGTGCTAAACGAAAAACATCACCAAATCTAAAACAAACAAAATTATAATAATCAAGATTCTTTAACAAAATGAACGTAATTACCGAAAGAAAAGTATACAATGTGATTGTTGATCATCACGTCCAGCACGACCACTTTCTTGATAGAAGTTTTCAATTGATTTACTTAAAGAATGATGAATAACAAAGCGTACATCAGGTTTATCAATACCCATTCCTAAATAATGAATCATGTCATTAAATAGTGAATTCCTCATTGATTAGTTAACAAACCAAAAGCAATTGTCGCACAAATAATATGAATTTGATTTCGTAACCATTTTTCATGAACTTGTGTTCGAGAAAGAGCTGTAAGACCAGCGTGATAACAACCAGCTTTAATACCTACAGAGAAAAAAAAATGATTTGGTTCTATTCCGATAGCTTACAACTTCCTAAGTGGGTGTGGGTTAGAGATGTGCGTGACCAACCTTTTAGGTCTCGGTCCCGG